CTATGCCATCAAAAACTTGCCCCAAGTTAGTAGAAAACCAAGTTGGCACAGCTCAGAGCCAGCACCTTGGTGAAAAAGGGGTGGACCAGCTGATGATTTAAAGACATAAGGTGATTGGTTGTCTTTTTCATGGCAGCAAGGAGAAAGTCTAATTGTGTGAAGGAGGTGGAGAAACTACAAGAGAAGAGAGAGAGACGAAGACTTCAGCAACAGGAGCTGAGAGAGAAGAGGGCACAGGTAACACTGTCCACAGTGATTAAAATAATGTACAGCCATAGTATACATAGTCTAATTAATATGTATTTTACCTTTTCTCAGGAAGTGGACACTACCATCCCCAACTTTGAGATTATGTACATGATCAGAGATTTCAGAGCCAGTTTAGACTATCGACCTTTGACAACAGCAGATCTGGTTGGTACTTTAAACACTTGTTTTCTCTTGTGGAGTTTTTTAATTGTTTGTAATTTGCTATATAGATTGAGGAACATAGGATCTGTGTTTGTGTGAGGAAGCGTCCACTGAACAAAAAAGGTATATATATATATATATGTAATATACTTCACTAAAACCATGCATTAAACACTTTTAAGTCTATTTGAGGAGAGGGAATTTCATTATGTTATTATTCTGTCATTTAGAGTTGGCCATGAAGGACTTGGATGTGATCACCATTCCCAGTAAGGACGTGGTGATGGTACATGAACCCAAACAGAAAGTGGACCTAACACGTTACCTGGAAAACCAAACATTTCGCTTTGACTATGCGTTTGACGATAGTTCCACTAATGAGATGGTCTACAGGTTTGTTTAGATCGAACATGTTTATGCCTTGGTAAATGGTTGCTTAACTGTCTCTCTGTATGTTTATACTGACAGGTTCACTGCCAGACCCTTAGTAGAGACCATTTTTGAGAGGGGGATGGCCACCTGCTTTGCCTACGGACAGACAGGCAGTGGAAAAACGCATGTGAGTCATTGTTTGGTGATTGCAAAATTGCATTACTGAATTATAAAATCTGACAGAAAAACAATGTTTTTAAATGTTAAATGTCCTCTGTTATTATAAAGTTGTTGTTTTTTTGTTTTTTTTTAACAATTATGTTTTAACATTTCTTATTAATCAGTTCAAACTTTTAGGAGTCATTGACTGAAAACATTTTTTGCTCTTCTGCAGACTATGGGTGGAGACTTTTCCGGTAAAAATCAAGACTGTTCTAAAGGAATCTATGCCCTTGCTGGTGCGCTCCCTTTGATGTTTTGGGGATGTTAATATTTCATAAGATGAGTCTCATATAATTATTCTGTCTCTTTCGCCACAGCTCGCGATGTATTTCTCATGTTGAAGAAACCCAATTACAAGAAGTTAGATTTACAAGTTTATGCCACGTTCTTTGAAATCTACAGTGGAAAGGTATATGACATATCTGACTCTCACTACAAGTTTATAAAGATCAAAAAAGATGCTCACTTAACTGTATGCTTTTAGGTATTCGACCTGCTGAATCGAAAAGCCAAGCTGAGGGTGCTGGAGGACGGCAAGCAGCAAGTGCAAGTGGTTGGGCTCCAGGAGAAAGAAGTTAAGTGCACAGAAGATGTCCTAAAACTCATAGAAGTGGGCAACAGCTGTAGGTAGGTTCGATTACAGGACAATGTGTCAAATGTACTGTACAGAACCAACTTTAATTAGCTTTTAACCATATAAAATTAGCTTTTCCCTCGTTATCTTACTTGGTAAGATACTTTTTGATTAATAAATTTTTAATAATCCTGTATTGTCCTACATTCTCCACCCACTCAAATGTATGTATTTTTCTATGGATCATAGAAGTGGGGTTAAAAAATATAGTGTAGCAGTTTCATAAAAATAAATTTCATCATCATCAGCTGGCTATGACAAAAGGCTATTGTAATGAGGCACTGTTTACCAGTTTGAAAGTTCTAAACAGGAAGTGAACCTATTTTTATGATGCGTCAATGTTGACATGTTAACAAAATGTAAAATAATGATCTACATATGTAAAGCAAGAATCAGAAAAAGTATGTATTTTTTTGTAATTTCAGAACGTCTGGGCAGACGTCAGCCAATGCCCACTCGTCTCGCAGCCACGCTGTGTTCCAGATCATTCTCAGGAGAAAGGGCAAAATGCATGGAAAGTTTTCTCTCATTGATCTGGCTGGAAATGAGAGGGGTGCAGACACATCCAGTGCTGATCGTCAGACACGCTTAGAGGGAGCGGAGATCAACAAAAGCCTGCTTGCTTTAAAGGTCAATATTACTTTCCAAAATGAAACAGAAATATCTAGACTTTTCAATATTTCTATTTTTTTTATCCTTTTGTTTTTCAGGAATGTATCAGGGCTCTGGGGCGTAACAAACCACACACTCCCTTTAGAGCCAGCAAACTCACCCAGGTCCTCCGTGACTCATTCATCGGGGAGAATTCACGCACATGCATGGTCAGTGCTTTACCACACCTGCACCTCTGATTTGGACCAATGTGTGTCATAATGGTTTAACATTCTGTGCACAGATTGCCACCATCTCTCCTGGAATGACTTCCTGTGAGAACACTTTGAACACACTTCGTTATGCCAACAGGTGATTAGCTGTGGGATAGTACATTAGAATATTTATGCAGAGGATTTAAAGCTTACTATAGTTGACTTCTCTTTGGGCTGTAGTTTTGACTCTTTTCTCCTCCTCTTTTCCCTACTCTCCTCTTTATCCTGTCCTTTTCGCCTCTGTGCACTGGTTTGCCCTTGCTGCTGTTTAGAGTCAAAGAGTTTGGGATTAGTCCATCGGACATCCCCTTCTCCCAGGGCGGGCAGGGGAACCGTCCTGACCTCTCACCAACCAATACCTATGAGTATGATGACTTTGCTGCTGTATCACCCAGCAGGTGGAGCTCTTTCTAAAGCACCAATTCATCCATGCCCCCACACAGTGCATGTACTGCCCCCTGGTCTACAGTATCATCATTTCTTACCGAGCATCCATAAACACATGCCAGTCTGCATGACCTCCTGCTTTTTTTTTTTTTCTTTTTTTTTTCTTTGGCTAAACACAGTTGTGCCTTTGCCACATCTTTCAGATGAAATTAGTCATTTTTAGCTTTGAATAAATCATCATAAAAGCTTTGCAGCTGAAGTGACTGGAGAGTACATAATGTTCATGTTTAAGTCCTAAAAGGTTAGGGCAGTACTAGTGTCGGGGAAAGGAAAATATCACATCAGTATTAACTAATTTAAAGTGTTCATTTTAATAGTTGGTAATGCTCAGCTGCCGGTTGTGTGCTAAGTGTCCAATCATCTGCTTCATGCATGTCTCTGCCACCATTATGCTACCATCCTTGTACATTTGACTGTACTTCTGTTCATATATCTAAAAGTGACCTGCAAATATGTGATCTTAACTCTTTAACAATTATTTATATATATATATATATATATTTTTTTTTTGTAGGGTGAAGGAGCTCACAGTGGATCCTAACCAGGTGATGGAGGGGGGTCGGCCTAACATCCATAATGTTAATCAGCTGGACCTGGATGAGGAGTGGATGGGTATCTCCCCACAGAGGGATGACCTCAAGCTGCTCTGTGAACAGAATGTGAGTGTACAAGGACAATGCTCTAAGTGTTTAACTAGTTCTTGTTCCATGCAGTTACAATTTTTAACATTGTCTTCCAGGAGGAGGAGGTGTCCCCTCAGCTCTTCACGTTCCACGAGGCTGTGTCTCAGTTAGTGGAGATGGAGGAGCAGGTTCTTGAAGACCACCGAGCTGTTTTTCAGGTTAATGTTTATTAAATTTCTCTTTTCTACTTGGGCCAAAAGCTGTTGGACAGATTCATATTGTGTCCTTTGTGTGCAGGAGTCTATTCGGTGGTTAGAAGATGAAAAAGTGCTGCTAGAGATGACCGAAGAGGTGGACTATGATGTGGAGTCTTACGCCACTCAACTCGAACAGATTTTGGACCAGAAGATAGATATCCTCACAGAGCTCCGAGGTAAGACTTACTGTAAAAGCTTTAACACGGCGATTAGAAGATCTAGAGGTTTTTTAAAAGCCACTAATAACCGGTTTATGGTTGTCATGTTTCCGCTCTTTCTTTCAACAGACAAAGTGAAGTCATTCCGCTCTGCACTTCAGGAGGAGGAGCAAGCTAGTAAGCAGATCAACCCCAAGAGGCCGCGAGCTCTTTAGAGACAGAAGTGACTTGAAAACATAACCACTAGCTGTTGGACATCAGTTGGACTGCCACTAACATTGGAAAGTACTCTCATTAAAAACCCATTCCCAAAAATCCGGCAGGTTGCTCACTCTAGTCAAAGGGAGGAAAATATTTCTCTTTTTTAATGAAGAATTAAGTTTACTGGACCTTTTACATAAATTATTTTCTTTTATACTTGTTTGTATCTTTTTATTAAAACATTTTTTGTTTTCCCTCTAAAATACAGCTGTTGGTTTCCAGTTGCTCTGGTTAACATTTTTTGCATGATTGCACTGTGATGGTGTACTGTAGCATTTGTGTACATCTGTCTGTTTTGATCGAGTGCAATTATTTTTACATCATTTGTCAGCCTCAAAAACCTTTTCCCCTTTCTCTTGTTTGAGCTATTTTAAAAAGAGCCCCTAGCGCCACATTGTGCTTCTTTTTTCTGAGATTTCTACTTGTAGTTTGCTTAAACTTGTGCCGTCACATTAACTGCAACTGTCATAAATGACCCAAATGTTAAAGTCCAAACTCCATTTGTGAAGAATAGAACTGTTAATACATGTCAAGACAACTGACCCACCAGAGGTTCAGTGTCTGTTTGCACCAGATGTAATTATAGAATAAAAATAATTCATGTTTTGCCTCACATGTCAAATCATGTGCATGACAAGGAGATAAAAAATGTGCAGTTTGTATTATCTTCAACTCAATGTTATTACTATTCAGAGAGTGTCGAGACAAGTTACCAAGTTCAACAAAAGATGGTTAGTACTGCAGTAAAAGAAACTGAAAATGTAACTAAAGTTTATTAATTATTTTGGCATTGATTTAATTGTTAATTTACAAAAACACTAAACTATTTTACATTTTCAGTTTTTTTTGCCCATGATACATAAGGGCAACAACATAACTCCTCAATCATCTTTACAAGTTCATGGCTCTACTTTCAACAAATGATGTGTTTAATTCACTATATGACAGAAAAAGGACCTCTAAGAAAAGTGGATTCCTGCAGAATTGAAAGCATGAAGTAGTCTGAAAAAAAAAAGAAGAAATAAACAGTAAACATGTTTTTTTCCTCAGACAAAAAAAAAAAAGAAAAGTTACTTACACCATGAAATCATCAATGTCCATGGATCTAGCTCTCTTTTCACTGAAGTTTGCTTCTTGCAAAACACTTTCAATCTTCTTACTAATGCTGAAGTCAGCTGGTACAGGCTTAAAAAGGTTTAAATTTGGTTCAGTTTGTCTTCTATTTAAAACTGCATTCATACCAGAGTTTACTTACCACACTGTGAACAGAACAATGAATTTTGTAGTTTTTCTCAAGCAGCTGCTCCACTGCTGCAGACCTGAAAGTAGTTTTTATGATCATCTAAAACTAGAAAAGATGTCAAAGAGATTGTGTTAAGATGGCTACTCACTTGAATGCAGCACTCAGCGTTTTGTTTTTCCTCACAAAGGCTATTCGAACCAAACCATCCCACTCCTTAAAAAAGATACTGGAAAATTAATTATATAGTACACAGTGACACAAAGAAAAAAAGGATTTAGAAAAAAAAATACCTGGAAGTTTACTGGGGGTGGAGGATTTTTGGGTTCTATTCTGACAACACTTGATTCTACTTTAGGGGGAGGGCGGAAATTATTCTTCCCCACCTGCGGAAACAGGTACGTACATGAATCTATCTTATATAATTAATATGTTGTAACAGTGATAAAACACAAACCTTCATGAGATGGTCAACTCGAGCCAACAGCTGTGTGTTGATGGACAATCTACAGTAAAGCTTGTCTCCTGGTTGAGCAACTAAGCGCATCGCAAACTCCCTTTGAAACATCAACACTGCACATCTTGGCAAAAGTAAAACAATAACTTGGATGGGGGCTATAAATACAAATAATTATGAGAAACAAATAATTCAGTTCTTACCTAAAGAATGGTCGGTGAAGCAAAAGTTTGAAGACAAAGGGTGACGAAATCTACACAATAATGGTTATATGTTATGTGTAGAATAATACAAATAGAAAAACTAGTATTTTGTGAGTTGTTACCTGGTACGGTAAATTTGCAACACAGACATCAAAGAAAGGAAGATCTGTTTTCAATACATCACCCACTAAAATCTGAAGTTTATTTTGCATTGGCCTGATAACAAAACAGGTGAGTTGGGTGAGTGAACAAAAATAATATACGGTTTCTTGTAATGTCAGATACCCACGTGCACTGTACTCTCTTCTGAAGCTCAGCCACCAATCTGCAATCCAACTCACAAGCCACAACCTAAAATAAATATAATTAAATACAAGTTTTTACTCAGTAAGATGAACACTGGATAAGAGTCATATTCGGCATCTCAAAACTTGCCTTTTTAGCCTTTTCTAGCAGTTTTACAGTCATGTTTCCTGTACCTGGTCCCACTTCAAGAACAACATCTGTTGGTCTAAGAGCAGCCTGCACATCAAAACACAAACATCTATAAGTGACAATTATTACAGTTCACTTAAGTGTTTTAAATTATCATCTTACCTTTTCTATGATACCATTCACAACTAAAGGGTTCTTGAGGATGTGCTGTCCAATGCCAGTGTTAAACATGATACCTGTGAAGCAGACAAATGTTAAATAAATCGTTGTCGCATTAATGTAAATTGTAAAAATGTATAGCTTTAATCCACAGCACTACAATTACTTATTACAAAAAAGGTAAGACCAATACCGGCTTTCTTTTGCCATTTTTGTTGTTTACAAGTTTTTCAAATTCTTGTTTATTCATTGGGACAGTGCAAATTAATTAACATGTGTTAGTACAGCACGTCAATGTCATCCGTATTAACTATTGCTTGGTTAGTGCACTGTTTAAGTTTAATATTTTGAGTGAAATTATGTAAGTGACAATGTAATTCCTGGCCTAGCACCTAGCTAATCTAGACAATATAGTACTTCTGAAAAGAAGTACTGAAACCAATTGTCCATAATCGATGTTTTTATATTAGCTCATGTCGAACAGCTGACTGGACTGTTGTGCTAGGCTAGCTTCAGCATAAATTAGACAATTACCATGACTTCTTACCTTGATTTTTAACCTCTTGATGTTGGCGACTTTTCTTTTCCGCTTTAACCTTCGGCATTTTTCTTTATTATAATCCAGGTAATTCCAGAAATAAAGATAAAAGTTATGGCTGGTGGTACAAACACGTGTGATCTTTTCTTCTTCTCCCAGAACATACACACCTAAAATGTGTGTCCCTCTAGTGGAAGCTGATAGAAGAACATTCAATTGGCCTTTGATATTTTCTGTGTACGCTTCTTTAAAAAAGAAACGACATGCATTTACGAAATACGTATTATTTATTTAAACATCACAAACAGCATATACATTAAAACAAGTACATTTATAAATAATGTTACTGCTTAGTCAGAAATGGGAAGCTCTTCTAGAGTCATGGCAATATCACGAAGTTTGGGGTCATCAATCCAGTTAATCTTACAGGCTAAAAGCAGGCCCTGAAAGAGACAAAGGCAATTTACCAGGTCCATTCTTTTTTTTATATATATATACTTAACAAGCACGTGTATATTATTTTAAGAAAAAGCAACATACTAGAGACCAGAGAATAAAGGAGAGTAAATTAATAAAATCTCTGCACCCAAAGTAATACAAAAGTCATAAACAGTGCTTCCAAATAATATCGGTCTCCCTCTAGTCCAACTTTCTCATGAAATTGCAATCTGAGCAATACACTGGTAGGAAATATATATTTGCTAATGTTTCCAACAGTATCATTTACTTCTAAAAGTAACTATAAGTACTTTTAAAAAAGGTGCATTCATAAGGTTATGTGGAGGGCTCTAGCCTACTTTCTACAGCACATTATAGTCACACTACACTCACCCTCAGGACATTCTGTGTCATGACAGCCATCTTCTTGTTTTTCTCCAGGTTTGCTTGGCCTTTCTCCAACACAGCTTTATATTTTTCTGAGTCTGGGTGTTCTTTCTTTGACTTCAACTCCTCTATCTCCTTCATTTTTTCATGAGTAAGACGCTTCAACTCTACACAAAAAGTGTAAATGCAAATTAGCACTTCAGTGATAACTAATATTAAAAGGTGCACTATGTGATTTTTCTGGTGCTTGTATCCATGGAGATGACACTTTATTTACCTTGCATGAATTCAGTTACAGATATTTCTATTACAAGAAAATAGATTACAGTGAGTCAGATTGCTTCTCCACAGATCCCACCTGCAGCTTGGTCTGGTGTTGTCTCCTGCCCCTCTCCTAGGGGACAGATACCTTTGACACAATATTGTGGGACATTACAAGCAAAGAAATAACCATGGACACAAGCAGGTGGCAGACCCTCCACCAGAAGAATTACATAGTGCGTCTTTAATAATCACATCATATACCTAGTCTCTTCTTTTGTAATTCTGATATGTCATCTTGAAGAGCCCTTGATTCCTGTACCAAATTATTATTATTATTTTTTTTAAAGTTCATTATTATTGCAGAATATACATGGGGATAAAGGTAAAGATAGAAAAATAAACATCATACTTGTTGGAGTAGTTTAGTCTGTGAACAAAGGGCCATACAACGTTCACTTACACGCCGCAGCTCACTAAAATGTAATAAGTATGAAAAATGATGTAATACATTACAAGAGGGTACATATCATTATTTGTAGTGAACATACTTTGCCTCTGCATCATTTTGTTTACGTTTTTCAGCAAGAGCATGCCACGTCTGCATCCTGAAATTAAAAAAAATGCAAACAATTAGCATTATTTGTATATTTCTATTAGAGATATATGTGGTTGTACAATTGTTACTGTACCTGTGCAATGCAAGTGTGCAGTTAAAATAATTAGTCTTGGCATTCTCTATCTCAGTTACAAAATCCAGCCTAGAAAATAATCATAAAATAATGTTTATTATAGTAGTAGTATTATAGTAACCCATGGATACATTTTAACATTTCAAAACAATGTAAATACTTACAAATCTCTCTCTGCTTCAGATGAGCTACATGTTCTTTTAGGATCTCCTATTATTTTTTGTACCAAAAATACAGGTCACATTATAATTGACATTATAAATTGAATTGAATCTTATAAAATGGCATTTTCCAGCTCAATAATTTAAAAACAAACAAACTGCAGAACAAGGTAAAAATAAAAATAAAATAAAAGTGAAAGAAATTATTTACCAGTTTGGAGGTGCACTTCCATCTCAAAACATTGGTTAAACATCTGTTGCTTTATTCTAAAAAAAAAAAAAGATAATACATTTAGACAAAGACAAGGAAAATCATAGATATCATGAGTGGGACATGAACCTGAGCATGTCTATGGGTGAAATATCACTCTGTGCAGATGTGTGGTTAGGAGCAGGCTCATCATGTACAGCCACTGCCTCCATGGTGTGACTGAGCTGCCCTAGGTCCTCAGGCTGCTCCATTGCACTCTGTGGACACTACATGGGTCAGAATAACCAGAGCACAATGCGAAAGAGCATGACTCTAGATGACATGATTTTTCTACTTCTAAAGCAAATAACAATCACCAAGATCAACAAAGAATATAGGTACAATACTTATAATTATTGTGTATGCTGTTTATATCGTATTAATTTGTTTAAAAAAAAACAAAAAACATTGCTGAAAGAGCTTAAGAGCATAATAAAATAATAAAAGACGATTCAGGAGAAGTGAATAAAGCAGACTCTATCCCACGAAATACTACGTAGGATTAACAGCACGACACGTTTTTAATATCATAGCTCAAATGTGTAAATAAATGTTTTAGTCACTTACTTTGTGGCTTAAAGGTTCAACAGAGATTTTAAAAAGTAAAGTTGTTTACATCCAGAGAGCCAGAGCCCGCCAGGACGTGACGTATGCTGCTTCTGTGGTGGCTTAGGTAAGTGTCTCCCTCCTGTGGTCAAGCAAGGTACAGCTTTTTTAAAGGCATAAATACTTAACTTGCTTATTTCAGTTTAAACGTGCACAATGTAACTTTTTTAGTTGAGAGTCCATCACCTTGCTTCTGTGGATGTCTTTGCTCTGCTTGGAATGTTCCACAGTATGACTTTAAACAAATCTACCTTACATTTATTCAGTTACAGGTGGTTTTATAGCTCAAACAAATGTAAAACTAGAAAAGCACTCAGAGAGCGCAGACCTCCGCCAAGGACTACCCCCATTTTGTATATAAATTGCGATAAAATCAGTCTTCTGGATCAGATCCGGATCAGCCTTTGGAATATGAAAGAGGATCCCATTGTCCATCCCTGAGTCAAATTTCTTGGGGTTTGGTCAATAATTAACCGAGATATTGAGAAACAAAATTTTTGGCCCCATTTACCACAATGTTAAGTAAAATTTCAAAGTGATCCAGAATCCAGGATTTCTTCCGGATCATCCCCAAAATGAAATCAGTTCTTCCTTTTCACATTTCCAACAAATCCTGAAAATTTCATCAAAATCGGTCCATAACTTTTTGAGTTATGTTGCTAACAGACAAACAAACAAACAAACAAACAGACAGACAAACAAACAAACAAACGCTGGCAAAAACATAACCTCCTTGGCGGAGGTAAAAAAAAAAGCATTCTGATTGTGAGCGGGGTTGCCTCTCCACAGATCAGACCTCTCATTTGGTTTAGTTTAACACCGTACTGTGAAACATTCCAGACAAATCTAACACACTGATTTAGCTTTTAACTTTCTTCTATTAAAACAACAGTAGACTATGTAAACTTTTCAGCCAAAAAATTAAAGCTTTGTTTTGTATTGGTTGTATTTACATTGAAAGACAAAACATAACTTAATGTGAGCATACTTACATCTCCATATTTCTAAATCTGGAGGCCCTCGTCCTGGATCTCATGCTTGTTTCACTTATAATCTTCCACAGATTATGTCCCAATTCGAAGTATGATTTTAACTTAATATTCATGCAGGTGACATGCCACTTCAAAAAATCCCATTCTGTACATTTATTTTTTTATTGTAAGAATCATTATAGATTATCAAAAAGGGCAATTTGTCATTTTGCCCATAATGATGTTTAAAGATAATTTTGCTGTTAGTGGAACACAGATGCTAAACTTTTACATATTAGAAACAATTCATTTTCTCGCTTAACCTCATATGAGTGGGGGTAAAAGACTCATAACATACGTTTGCGCTACAAATGATCTATCTATCCTTTCATGTTTCTACTTTTCCTGTTTGAGCAAGTCTGGTTCAAATGGCAACCAAGCAAACAACTACAATGTTTTTTCTCCTGCCCATCCATACTCACAGTAAACAGTCATAGTCAGTGGCGGATTTAGCAATTTGGGGGCACACGGCGAACTTGAGTTTGGGGCTCTCACTATAATGCACTTTTCTTTTTTTCATTATTATTTTTTTTTCATATTTATTGTCTGTTTTTCCCCATTGTTCTTGAGACATGCACATCTCTATTTGAATTAGGGTGGAACTTGTCTTATTAGTTATGTAGCTTACTAGATAACCAGAGCTAAAAGTAGTTTTATAAAAAAAAATTCTATGATTATGTTCAAATCAGGGTCAAGGTGACTAGTCCATTCTAACGTGAAAGGGGGAAATGCTTTGGCAGTTAAAATAGATTTGACAATCAGATACTATTTTGATGGTGTTTTCTTGTTTAAAAGTAAACTACTCTCTTTTAATGTCATATCAAATTACTCTGAGGCCTCGGACATTAGTGCCGCTGAGGGCAATATATTGGGGGCCCCACCAGGTTCGGGGGCCCTAGGCGGTCGCCTATTCTTGCCTAATAGTAGCACTGCCTCTGGTCACAGTAAACGCATTGAGGTGTTGTCAACCCCTAAAGGTTCAGAAATGCAATGGATCTGGTTCAAACCTGATCCTAGATTCACTGACGTGTAAACAAGTAATAATGACAAGTAAACAGGTAAGTATTATGTTAAGTCTTAAGTTATCAGGGTTGGTAAATATTTTCTGTCAAAAACAAATACATTTTGTCAATTGCATACTCCCCTCATGCAGGACATCCTGAAGAGGTTGGATGCTGGGGAGGTGGTCGTTGGTGATGGCGGGATGGTTCTACAGTTGGAAAGATGTGGTTAAGTGAAGGCTGGACACTGGACCCCTGAAGCGTCTGTTCAACATCCTGAAGCAGGTGTGGGACTCATAACCAAGTGCGGCTATGTTTGCCAAAAACTTGATCATAATTTGACTTCTGGAGGTATCTGATGGCAATCTGAAAGTCATTTTCAATTTCATTGTACTTTGTCTTCGAAATACAACAGATTCTAAAGTCTTTATTATGATCAGATTTCTTTGTGCATGTAAACCATGTTCGTATTATAGATTCTTGATGTAAACACCAAAAAATCTAATCAAGTCTTGAGTCATTTAGCACCTCTCCTTTGTGTTGTTCCTGTCAGTGCACCAACTGCACAGGGAGTTTCTCAGAGCTGGGGCTGATGTGTTTCAAGCCTTCACTGCAGCAACGACAAGCTGGAGCTGTGCATAAATGTCATCAACATCACTGTAAGTACAGAAACAGATTTATTATATGAAGAGTTAGATTTGACAATCATTATTTTAATGTATATTTCACAGGGTGCTCAGATCAATGAAGCAGCCTGTGGCCTGGCCAGAGAAGTGACTGATAAGGGGGGCGCTCTAGTGGCCGGCTGTGTGTCCCAAACTCCCTGTTACCTGGAAACTCGCAACAAGGCTGAGGTCAAGACTCTGTTTAAGAAACAGATGGAGGCATTTCTCAAAAAGGTAAGTTAGTCCCATTTCATGGTTTGGTAAAATAAAGAAAAATTTGCGCACATTGGTGTATGCTGTCAAACATGGTGACATTTCTCTTTATACATCATGTCATTAGACATGATGTATAAAGACAAGTAATTTCACACATGAATTGACATGTTTTATATTGGTTCTTAATTTGTTTTTATTTAAATAAAATGCAGTTTTTTCCAGTATGCAGAGGAAGCTGCCTGGGCAGTAGAGGTGCTGAAGACCAGTGGTAAAACTGTGGGAGCCACACTATGCATCTCTCCTCATGGAGATATGAACGGACTCACCCCTGGGGACTGTGCTGTGCTCCTGGTCAAAGCAGGAGCTGATATTGTTGGAGTAAACTGCCACTTGGACCCAGCGGCCTGTATCCAAACAGTGAAGCTGATGAGAGATGGTGTGGAGAAGGCAGGTCTCAAAACCCATCTCATCATCCAGCCTCTGGGGTGTCACACTCCTGAATGTATTAAGAGTGGTTATATGGGTCTGCCAGAGTTCCCTCTTGGAAAGTTACCTTTATGTATTTAACTTAATTTTTGTATGATTCTCAAACAATATAAACATGTGAAAGATTCAGACTTTCATTATGCTCATGTAGTTCAAGTCTTTTTATTATCTCCCATTATGTAACCCTATAATTAGCAGACTCGTCTTAAGTTACATATCCTTAAATGAAACTCTTTAATTCTGTTCTGTCAGCACTGGAGTGCAGGACTTTGACTCACTGGGATGTGCACAAATACGCCAGGGAAGCATATGAGGCTAGGATCATTTACATTGGCGGCTGCTGTGGGTTTGAGGCCTATCATATACGAGCCATATCTGAGGAGCTGCGAGCAGAGCGGGGCTTTCTCCCTCTTGCATCAGAGAACCATGGCCTGTGGGGGGCAGCACTGGAAATGCACACAAAACCCTGGGTCAAAGCCAGGTGAGGGCATCAGCATTATTCTGTAGATCATTTAAAAATGTACCGCTACTAAGATAATAAGTGATTGTGAAATGATAAGGTTAAAATACCAAATGATTAACAGTGTGCTTGAAGGTCACTGGTCAGTGAGTGGACTGTAATTCAGTAATATCAGATTAGATGACACATAAAAAGCAGTGTCTAACTCTGGGTCTATATTTACCTCACTGTCTATAAATATAGCCTTTAGACTTTAGACTTTATTGTGCTCAGGGGGAAATTCTTTTTCATGCATACTGAGTTTATTTGACATATACTGCAACAACAAAGCACAACAACCCACACACATTACAAGAGACATTACAGTACACTCAGCAGGACCTGTTGTTCAAGAATGTGATTGCTAAGAGGATCAGGCTTCTACCAACATGGGCCCTTCTGCACCTGAGTGCCCCTGTATCTCCATACTGATGGCAGAGGTATAAGGTGTTCCTGTGAGTGGAATCTTCTATGGTTCTATGGTGAATGCAATGCATCCAGTGGCCCTGTTGTTAAGATCTGCAAGGTTGGGTGTGAGGAGCCTAGACTGGACCTGGAGTAATTTTAATTAAATATTCACCAGGTGCAATAGAAATCACATTCAGGTGGCATCAAAGACCTTTAGCCTCTGTGCAAAAAGTCATGTGGATGGACTCTAAAATATGAACGCTGTCTGATATTTAATTAATCAAATAAGACCCACACACTCCAGTCTGGGAACTTATTAGGTATATTCTAGTTTAAGTGGGTGCAACCTAATATTAAATAAAAATAAAAACAGACAAAATAAATGAAAACAGTCAAACGAAAAGTGTTAAAGTTGAAGTATACTTTGCTTGAAGGGGACAGTACATCGATCCATGGAACAGTTCCATTTATTTAATAGGTCATTGAGTACATTTCCATTGCTACAAAATACATACAAATTATAATAAAAACATTTTCTATCAGAAACATTAGTCCATTCTGCGTTATTGAACTGACCAGTGTATTGTATTAAGCGGACTGGATAGAAAACACTCTGTAGATATTTGGATAGAATAATACATATAAATGCCGTATGACCCAGTTTTATTAGATCAGTGAACGCCCCATTACGACGATTACGACACACGCAGCCATATCCTGTCCACAGTGGTGTGCACCGACGTGCTCGGCGGACGGACTTCCTGAGTGTGTGTGCCTTATTCACTGTGCACATTATTATTTTATCACCTGTCTTTCAAGAGAGCAATGAAAAGAAATAAGCGGGTAAGTTCTCTAAGCTCGTCCTCGCGCTGCTACTGTTGTTGTTGTTGAGGTTAGGTACTTGTTGACACTTTGGCCAGACCTGCAGATATCTATATAAGTGTGTAGGCTTTATAAGTAGTAAACTATGCTTTCATTACTTCTAAATTTAACCCTCATAATGTAGCAACACACACGAATCGAAATTACTTGCCTATCTGTTTTGGCTCCATGCTCATAGACTGATGCACTGTAATACATGCTTTATGCTACATGCAGGACATCCTGGAGAGGTTGGATGCTGGGGAGGTGATCGTTGGTGATGGTGGGATGGTTCTACAGTTGGAGAGACGTGGTTATGTGAAGGCTGGAGACTGGACCCCTGAAGCAGCTGTTCAACATCCTGAAGCAGGTGTGGGAGTGGGACTTAACCTAGTGTCTTGGGTCATGTAACAGGACATTGCGTGATATGAATGAAGTGATCAAATCTGTGCAAATGGAGTGATTTGTGATGGGTTTGGGACTGCTTCTCTCCATCTTGTATCCAGCTGCAGCTTTGTATAATTCCGTTTGTGTTGTTCCTGTCAGTGCGCCAGCTGCACAGGGAGTTTCTCAGAGCTGGGGCTGATGTGCTTCAAACCTTCACCTTTTACTGCAGCGACGACAAACTGGAGCTGAGCGGAACTGTCACCAACATCACTGTAAGTGCGAAAACAAATTTATTATATAAAGAGTTAGATTTGACAGTCATTATGTTAATGTATATTTCACAGGGTGCTCAGATCAATGAAGCAGCCTGTGACCTGGCCAGAGAAGTGGCTGATGAGGGGGGCGCTCTAGTGGCCGGCTGTGTGTCCCAAACTCCCTGTTACCTGGAAACTCGTAACAAGGCTGAGGTCAAGACTCTGTTTAAGAAACAGATGGAGGCATTTCTCAAAAAGGACATTGACTTCTTCATAGCTGAGGTATGGCTGGTCAAATTTATGTTATGATCTCCTACTTATACCCCACTATGCACACCAGTATAGCACAGGGAAATATGTGCAACAAAGATGTCAAATTACATTGTTCTGCTTGGCACAGATGTTGGTGGAACTGGGGGGTATAGTTTTGTTGCCATACTTCTATTAACCACATTAATAGTTCTTCAGATATGCAGAGGAAGCTGCCTGGGCAGTAGAGGTGCTGAAGACCAGTGGTAAAACTGTGGGAGCCACACTATGCATCTCTCCTCATGGAGATATGAATGGACTCACCCCTGGGGACTGTGCTGTGCTCCTGGTCAAAGCAGGAGCTGATATTGTTGGAGTAAACTGCCACTTGGACCCAATGGCCTGTATCCAAACAGTGAAGCTGATGAGATGGTGTGGAGAAGGCAGGTCTCAAAGCCCATCTCATGATCCAGCCTCTGGGGTGTCACACTCCTGAATGTAACCTGACTGGTTACATCGGTTTGCCAGAGTACCCTTTTGGTAAGTGATTACTATAAAGACAATTTTATTTATCTGGCATGTCCCAGTATTAATAAATTATTATGTTGTCAGCGCTGGAGTGCAGGACTCTGACTCGCTGGGATGTGCACAAATACGCCAGGGAGGCGTACAAGGCTGGGATCAGGTACATTGGAGGCTGCTGTGGGTTTGAGGCCTATCATATACGAGCCATATCTGAAGAGCTGCAAGCAGAGCGGGGCTTTCTCCCTCCTGCATCAGAGAAGCATGGCCTGTGGGGGGCAGCACTGGAAATGCACACAAAACCCTGGGTCAGAGCCAGGTGAGGACATTAGCATTATTCTGCAAATTACTTACAAACACTATATGTTCAAAGAAACAGTTAATTTTAAAAAATCTGCTTGACTCAATATCTCACAGGGCCTGCAGAGAGTACTGGGAAAATCTTTTACCTGCATCAGGGCGCCCCAGATGTCCGTCAATGGCCAAACCAGCAGATGAATGAAGAAAGACCACACCAGTTGTCTGTTCTCACACAACTATATGTTTTATGCCAACACACAAAATTATGACTAAAATTACTTATTAATCATCAGGAAAAGCCATCTTAGCACTGAGTGATTTAAATTGTATGTTTGTACAATAAAAGAAAGCTATTTAAACTAGTGTGTCTTAATAGTGCTATGACCTGATCTGCTCTAAAGTCAACTTGCGAATTTTCAGGGGGTCAAATTATTTTCCCTGACACTGAGACGTTATAATCTCACTGCACATGCCACTGACATTCCAGTTATAGGGATATGTTAATAACATGGAATAAATGCACACAACACTGCTACTTGAATAGACAATAGACATTTTCGTTGATTGTACACTGTGGGTTTTTCGGAAGATTCAGTGCGTGTCCTAGAAAGAAGCACAAAAGATGGAAGGGTCCGAGAAAGCAGGCCACTTTATTTCTGCATTTTCCATTGAGAGGAATTCAGTTTTGATTACCAAGTACAGCTGTCACCCCGGAACGACGCCTCTGCCCAACTCACAATGAGGGGTAGCTTTATACCATACATCTGACAAAACATTAACTTGTTGATTTGGCATATACAGCAAGGAAATGAACAACTAGAAAAGCACTCAGAGAGCGCAGACCTCCGCCAAGGACTACCCCCATTTTTTATATAAATTGCGATAAAATCAGTCTTCTGGATCAGATCCGGATCAGCCTTTGGAATATGAAAGAGGATCCCATTGTCCATCCCTGAGTCAAATTTCTTGGGGTTTGGTCAATAATTAACCTAGATATTGAGAAACAAAAATGTTGGCCCCATTTACCACAAAGTTAACTAAAATTTCAAAGTGATCCAGAATCCAGGATTTCTTCCGGATCACCCCCAAAATGAAATCAGTTCTTCCTTTTCACATTTCCAACAAATCCTGAAAATTTCATCAAAATCGGTCCATAACTTTTTGAGTTATGTTGCTAACAGACAAACAAACAGACAAACGCCGGCAAAAACAGAACTTCCTTGGCGGAGGTAATAAGGCTGACCCAGTACAGGGGTTCACATACATCAGTTTTCTGCTTCGTGGCATCTCAAAGTACAGAAAAACATGTCTTTTATGGAACAATAGATAAACATATGTGTTTTTCATCCTGTTGTCATTCCATGGTACAAAATATTGGGAATCAGCATGGTCAACACATAATCAGCATGATCAACACATAATATTAGAATTGCAGAAATGTAATAAACGCGTAATCCTGATAAGTCAGATTAGTACATTTTCTACGGCTAGCTAATTTTATCCACGGATGTCATCGAAGTTACAGAGTCCGTTCTATCAATATTTTGTGTTTTGTATTACGTTTTCCTCTGGATTTTGTGCAGCATCTCTGTGGTAATTTTACTGAAGTCTCTAAAGTCAGATTTTTCGGGGCGCACATAAACGCAGCAGCATCAGTATTATTTTGCAGACTGGTCCTCGTCCTGCAGCTAGCCAAATGAGGACTTGAACATCGTATTTGTTTTTATCTAGAGAAGTTCTTTGGCCTCCCTGTGGACGAAACACTGGGGCAAATACCTGCGTGTGTTCTTATTTTGAGGTTTTTGAAGGATATTGGAGTCAGCTTTGTTTTGGACTAAGCGCGGTAATGCTGCTGTTATGTTGTGATGAGTGTAGAAGTCTGGGCCGCCGCGGTACACCACTGGGTTCGGTATTCGGACTGCCGCATAGCCCAGAGAAATGTAAAAGCTAACTCATTGAAAAGCAAAAGCTGGTATGGTAATTGAGTCATCATTTTGAGCTAAAACGGGGCATGATACCGCTGCGTTTGTTCCGTCCGTGCAGCTTTCGTCCACAGCATCCAAACATGACATTGCCTCTGCTTTTACTTCTGTGATAACACCGTCACATATGGCTCTAGTCATGCCTGTGCGCTCTCTGATGGACTTTTGACGTAGGTTTAGCGCCAAGTGCCAGCAACTGTTTCTAGAGATGTCTTTCACAATGGAGGATAATTTGGAGTCTGGGTGGGTAGCAGTTCGACCAAATGTGTTTGAGGAAAAGGAAAAACATAAATTCGTTTTTATTGTGGCCTGGAATGAGGTGGAGGGAAAATTTGCCATCACTTGTCACAACAGGACGGTACAGAGAAGGAGCTTGATCAAAGATTCAGAATCTCACATCAGGGTCATGGCCAAAGAGGAAACGATAGGATGCTCAAAGCTCCCATCAGCCCCTGCAACACCGCCTAGCCCCGTTAAAGTTCAGACTGAGGACGACACTCGTCTGAGCCCGGATATAGAGGTGCTTCACGAATTGTCCCCTGGGCCGGACAGTCCAGAGCTGGAGGGGCTGGAGGAGAGCTTACGCTCGGAGGATTGTAGTTGGGCAGGGCTCTTCTCTTTCCACGACCTTCGGGTCATTCACCAGCAGCTGTGCTCCGTCAACTCCGCCCTGGAGCCGTACCTCCCGGTGTTCCCGGAGGAACCTGCGGGGATGTGGAGTGTACTTTTCGGCCCCACGGAGGTG